TTTTTTTTTAAGTTGGGAAAAAAGGACTCTGTGACAATATAAAACTGAAAAGAACAATAGAAATTGTTTATTTACTTTTAAGAAAGAAATATCATCTAATTCATATGATTTGATAAAAAATGGAGCCCTATACATTTTCAAATAAACAAGTAATTTTTCACACTTGCCTTGGTAATATGTTGTGAGTTATTTAAATAAAAGAGATTCATAGCACATTTTATAAAGTAGAAGCAATTTCAGAGGAGTTGGATGCCTTGGTTATAGATTTTTAGTAATAAAGATTTGAACTTTAAAATGTGTGTTATTTTAAAGTCATGTTGTAGGAAAAGTATAAATAATTTAAACTGGTTAACAGTACACAGAGTTGGATTAACCAAACGACTCATAGCAAACTTACTGAATATTGATGAAGCCAAAAAAGATAGTTAATAATTAAGAAGCTGTAATAATGGCTCTTAAAAACCATTACCTCCTGAAGAAAAGCACTATTAAAAATCATTCTCCCAAAAGTGGGAATTCTGGCTATCCTCAAGTATGCATTAGCAGGAACTTTACAATGTTGTACATATAAATTATAAATAATCATTCTTGATATACCTGATAATAGTATACTCATTTAAATTTATGAATTCTAAACATTAACAAACCTTGATATCTTGTTTGGTGGATTCCTGGATGTGTGAAAAAATAAAAGCCTATAAGTTAGCACGTTATTTTCCCATGATAACTGAATAAATGACTTCGGCATTTGTGTCATTGAATGGCCCATCAGAGAGATCCTTGTGGCCACTGTATTTGGGCTATGGAACACATTTGGTGAATCACTGGTCTAGACTTTCCAAGTATAATCTATCATTAAAAATGCATCTTAGTTATGACTGGCTATATACAAGGAATATATTGATTTTGCAGGGCTCCCATAATAAAGTATCACAAACTAATAATTTTATTCTCCCACATCTCTGGAAGGTAGAAATTTGAAATCAAGGTGTTGTAAGAGCCTACACTTTCTCCAGACTTTAGGGGAAAAAAATGCTTGCTTTTTTCCAGTATCTGGTGGCCCTGGTGTTCCTTGCCCATGGCAATATAACTCCAGTTCTGCCTCCATCTTAACATGGATCTCTTCTTCTTGTGTGTTTGTGTCCTCTCTCCTTCCAAGGACACCAGTCATTAGATTTAGGGGCTACTCTAATCCATTGTCACCTGAAATCAACTAATTAAATCTTTAAAGAACTTATTTCTAAATAAAGTTAGTCTTAGGTTCCAGGTAGACATGCATTTGGGGGCAATAGTATTGTCTCTACATGACCCAAGCCAGCTCAATTAGAAAGCCATTTTAATTTTAAGTTCAGGTATCTCTGAATCCAGGGAAAAGCTGAACTAGCAGGCTTCTGATAGTACAGGAATTAGGCAAATCCATGGCTTTCAGTGGTAGAAGTTCATGATCTTCAGTCTTGGCTCTGCCACCTGCATGACAAGGCTATAGAGGCAGCCTATTTCCCATGAAATACAAGTGTAATAAGAGACTGCTTCTCTTCTGGAAGGCTGCTACCTTACTTTTTCGTGAAGTCCTATTTCAGTTATCTGGTAAAGGAATTTGATAGGCTCAGATTGGGTCTGATTCTCGCCCTTGATCTAATAAGGTATGGCCAGAGCTGGGGATGGTGTGTGTGTAGGGATGGTGCTGAGGTCACAATGGTTGTGAGAATGGGAGATTCTAGAAAAATATGTCAATGTTAAGCCTCTAGAATAGTGCTTGGCACAAAGTAGATGCTCAAAAAGAATTGTTGAATGAATGGGCTACAAATAATGGTCTGATCTTCCTCAGTTCTTTCCAAGCACTCCTGTTTCTGTCTCTGGTGCTTCCTAGTTTTGTTCTGTTTGCATAAAACCACATCCTTTGCATAGACTTCTCCTTTGCCTTATTTCATAAGCTTCTGTTATCCTTGTCTTTCTCTGCCCACTGCTTCCAGAACACCTTAGTATTTAGGTTGTGGCAGTTGTACCTTCCTGGTTATTCCTTACTGCCTCAGACCCTAATGTGTGCTCTAATCCAATAAGTCATAGGATGTGGAAACAGAATAGAAAAAAATCTTTAGGGTTTTTACATTTTAAAAGCTCTTTCACATAATTTTTCCTCATTGTATCTTTCCCATGATCCTGCAAAGCTGATATTATCATTTCTATTTTCAGATAAGTGTTCCAGGTTCACAGTGCACTCACAATGCTAACCAACTTGCCTGCTAAGGTCTCTCCTCCTCTTCCTCCTGGAACCTTCCTTGATAGATCCTTAAATATTCACTTTCCCTCAGAATTATTGCCTGTTCTACTCCTATTAAACTTAATGTTTTCCTTGTTCATGTTATCATTTGTCTTTCTATGTGAGGATCTTGTTCCCCAAACAGTGTTGGTATCTTGAAGGTAGGGGTTCTGCCTTATACTTTATATTCAAGCACCTTGTCCGGACTTAAACAGGATAGGCAGCCAAAGAAAATGTTATTAATTATCATATAATCACAAATTCTCTAAAATCCATTTTTAGAGGCAGAGAATTTTGATTTATTCTTTATTCTGCATCTTTTATCAATTGTGTGTTAATCTCACTAATATATTTTGTATATAGTGATAAGCTCTGGATTTAGAGATAAAGGACCTAGGTTCAAATTCTGTCTCCTATTAGCTGTATGGCCCCCTAATAAGTCACTTAATTTTTCAATGTAAGTTTCTTCAACTATAAAGGGGATAACATTAAAATCATGAGCACCCAAATGAGATAATGCCTGTGAAAGGGCTTACAAAACTGTATGACTATGTAAGAAATTATAAACACTGCCTCCATATGTGCTATCCCCCTTGCATATTTTATGCTTTTGTCTTTGTAAGAAGCAGCTGTTTGTGGGCAGGGATCACTTAGCATTCTTGATTAAGCATTCTGTCTAACCCTGAGCACAGGACACAAGATACATTAGTTTACTAATGTACTTTGGTGGAAAAGTGCCGCAGTCTAGTTCTCATTAACAGATACCATGGCTCAGGTTCAACAAATGCCATTTACCCGGATGTCTTTTATTTGCTTTTTCTGGTCTATAAAGTCTTTATTTGTTCATTTATTAATTTATTCACTTAACACAATTTAACACAACTGTCTTGAGTGGCTATCAGGGGTGGTGAAGCATGCTAATAGATGCCCAGGAAGCAGAGTAAATAAGTACCTCAAGATATTAACATTGTTCTGAGTGAAACACACACACACACACACACACACACACACAAACACACACACATACTGATTGTAATAGAGGCATTGTATCTCATGAAAGGATGAGTTGACTCTGGAAGGGTGGGCTTATAGGTTGCCCACCCATCCACACTGTGTACAGAGGTGGGAAAGATAATTTCTGCCAAGCGAAGGTAATGAAAGTCTTCAGAGGAGGTATTCACTCTCTTGGAGACAAGTAGATGGATAAGCAAGGTAGGGCAATGCAAGTGAAAGAAACAGTTTGAGCAAAACAAAAACACTCTGGGAACTATTGGTAGCTCAGCTTGTGATTTTATGCATTCTGTTATTATGGAGTAAATAACCATTTTGTGCCAGACCTTATGCTAGTTGATGAAGTTTCAGGGGTCATTGTAGGCATCACAGGGTTTGAGTGGTGAGGTGGTAAAGGAAAACCAGCCAGATTACAAAGAGCCTTGCACAACCATTTTATTCCATACATATTGGAGAGGGTTAAAATTATATGTGAATCTGCTGTCACTGACTCTTTTGTATTTACTGGAACTCTTCTAACCAGAGAAGGCAGATACCAGTATCAGGCTTTACTGAATACTTGGAGGTGCTGTCTTAAAGGATCGGTTAACATATATTTAAATGACGACAACATTCATACCCAAGGGAATTCAAGTACATAGTGAACAAATATGGGAAAATATGCCATATTACCAGTAATTAATGAAACACAGATTTTAACAAGGCAGGAATTTCTAAGCTAGAAGACAAAGTAAAACAACAAAGGCTGGTGATAGCACCTTAGAGGACAAAAGAGTGAAATGCAAAAACTTTTTAAGGCAAGAAGAGTTTGGTGGGGAAAACAGGGACTCTATGTGCAGCAGCGGAGTCTCTGGGGTGTAGGAGTGGAAAGGACGCGAAACACAAGAAGCCGTCCCACTACCCCCGCCCCCGCCTCCCCCCTGACACCCCTCAGCGGCACCCACCCCCCCTTCAGTGCCCTTCCGCACCAAATGTGAGAGCCGGCTCACGGAGCCAGTGTATCCGAACGACTGAAGCTGGGCGCTCTGGCGTCTCTAGGCAACCGATAAGCCCACCCATCCAGAGTCAACGCTTTGGTAATTGGCTCATTAATTAACCAATAGGAGCACAGGAGGAACTTCCCGCCACCTCTGGCGCCCGCTTCAAACAGCCATGCTCTTGCAACTGCAGGGGAACCTCTCAACCAAGCTTGAGGAAGGCGGAGACCTCCGCCTCCTCGCCCGGCCCCGAACCGGCCGGGCCCCGCCCACCAGGCGAAATTCTAGCRGGTGATTGAAGGAGGCGGCTGCTCTTCAAGAACCTCCGGCTCCGTGGGTTTGTTTGTGACTAGGAAGGAGCCAGCGGATTAGAATCAAGGTAAGGGGGTTTGCTAGAAGTTGGTCTTCGGCAGGGGCTAGAGTTCCCCCGCGGTGACAGCGTCTGTGGCCTCCGGTGAATTTTGCTTCGCAACCGAGCTTGGGGTTTGGTTTGGAGGGGTTGCGGGGTTCTTGGGATTTGGTTAAAGCTTCCCGCCGGGCTGACCTGCCCCCTCCCCAAATCGTGCAGTGGTGGCCTGCCCGCGGGTTACGGGGGTTCAGCTTTTGACTTTTAAGTGTCATTGAGACCTCTTCAGTCTCCCAAGATCCTACTTAGAAGTGACATCTGGGAAGCTCTCCTCGTCTCCTTTCCAGACTGCTGAAGTCGCCTGGAGACTCTTCCCTGAGGACCCCCCACCGGTGGTCACCTTGGTGCCCCGCCTGGCTCACAGTGGGTGCTCTGTGCACGTGTGTTGACCGAGTACAAGTGACGCTGGCACCCAAAGCTAGCAACCTAGGCTTCCTGGGATCCCTCCGTGCAGCTTCTGATCTCTTGGTACCTACCTGTTTGATGTCCCGTGGCTGACGCCCAACCGAGTTCTTTGGTAAGGTCATTCATTTATGCAAGGCCATGCATTTATGTATTAATTCAGCCCGTGGGTGCCTTCTGTGCATTAGGATCACTCTCTTCTTCCTCTGCTTATCTCGAATTGATGTGTCCAAGCTGCTGTCATTAGTACTGAACACAATGTTGAAAACAGATATTATCATCACTTGTTCATTTTGTTTTTCCCACCATGTCCTTTGTAAACTTGAACAATGCTTGGTAAATTGTTGAATGAAGAGGCCTTTATAGCCAGGTGTTGCAGGTGTACAGCAGGCTAGTGCTCTGGCTAATTCCATTCTAGAAGGGAAGTTAGCAGGTAAGCAAGGAAGTAGAATTTTCTAACTTCCAGGGCAATTCTTATATCGAGTTCTGGGGCACCTAACCCTTTCTATCTTGTACTCAAGAACTGGAGTTTGATTTAAGCTGATTTTCACCATATACATCTATGATACCAGGCAGTTTACAGATGATTACATTCAACTGATAAGAGAGGCTGAAGGTGAAGCCATAAGAAAAGTATCAGAAATGCTGTCTGAAAGTGCAAAGAAGTGACTAATTTCATGGGGTAGTGGTGGTAAGATTTGGGAAGGCATCTGGCAGAGGGTGTTATTTTCATCCCAGAGGAGGTTGTATTATTTGAAGTAATATGCAGGTTGTACATTCACCTTTTCTTAGAATACTGTTTTTACCCTCATTTCATTAATGAAGGAATGGTGGCAGTTTAAGATTGCACAGCTGATAAATAGAAGAGCCAAAATTGAGCCCAGGTTGTCTGAATGGGTTCCCTGATTCTTCAGCCACTTACACCATATTGTGTCCTTTGAGATCTATTTCTGATCTAAAGCCTATTTTTTCTGTAAAACCTCTTTAAGCCTTCCTTTCTTGTTAGACATGTTAATTTGTGCTTTGTATTTTCCCCTTTGATAGAATTTATTACAATGTATCATTGTAATTGTTTGTTTGCAGCATTGTCTCCTAAGAGAGTGAGCTCCCCTTGACTGGTAGGTGCCATATCTTAGGTGCATATAGGATATATTCTGGCACACAGTAATGTTCAATAAAATTTTATTAAAATAATGAATTCCAATAGGTAACATGCATATATTCTATTAATTTAGCAAACATTTGTGTGCCTACTATGACCAAGGAGCAGATACATTTAAAAAAATTTTTTTTAATAGTTGTAAAGAGACAGAATGCCTTTGTTTATTTTTATGTGTGCAGAGGATCAACCCCCATGATAGGCAAGCACTCTGCCACTAAGCTACAGCTGCAACCTGGCAGATATATTTTAATTCTGCCTTTAGGGTGCTTATTTTGTTCAATGAGGTAAAAAAAAAAAAATGTACTTTTGCTTTGTAACCTTTAGCCCAACTAAACACATACTGTTTTTCTTCTTGTTGCAAGGAGGGCAAAGAAAATATAACCAGGGACAACAAAGTGAGTGTTTGATTAGATAACTGTGTCAGAGAACTGTCTAACCTAAGAAAAGAACAGATATTCATTTTATATATCTTGTTAATGGATTCAGAAAAAGTTTTCTATTTTAGGATGAGAATCTTAACTAGATTACCATATTTTTTAAAAAGCGTATGTGTACTTCATGTTGATTTTTTTAAATGGTCTATCTTTTGAGTCAATAAATACAGCAATATTTTTTATTTTTACTAGTGGTATAGTATTGCCAAATTAATTCAAAAGTAATTTTTTATTAAGGCAATACTTTTGTGAATGTTCATTTAAAATATATTAATTGATAATTTTCAAAATGGTTTTAGCAGTTTATATTTTTGCCAGCAATTTATGAGCCATACACAATAGCCAATACTAGGTGTTACACAGTTTGAGATTTTTTTTAATACAGTGATTGAAAATGGCATTTTGTTGATTAAATGACACTTCTTTGAATTCTTCATGAGTTCAGCATTTTTTTTCAAATTAACTAAGCACTAACATGTTATTTACATAATGTCACTGCCCATTTTAAAATTGAATTCTTTTTCTCATTTTCTTGCAAAAATGATCTGTTAAGACCTTGTTTTGCAAATATTTTTCCATAATTTTTTTCTGACTTTGTTAGTATTGTATTTTTTGATACTTAATATTTATTAATTATATTTTTTGCTTTATACTCATTCTGTGGTTAGGTTTTCAATCAATTTTTTTCCTTATGGTTTCTGGATTTACTATCATGCTAAGAGTGTGTATGTGTGTATTTAATATARTCTTTTATTCTGAATATTATAGTAAAGTCTTTGATAGTGGTTATTAGTGATGATTAAAGTGTCAAAGAAAAACATTAGCTTTTACTTTTAAATTTCAGTTATTTCAGTAAAAATACTAATTTCCTTTTAGTCTTTTTTAAAAACCTCATTAAGTTGATCAGATTTCTCTTTATGCCAAAAATTGTCTCTTAAGGTCTCTGATATTTTGCACGTTTTAGAAGGAAATATTATTTATACCTTTTCTTCCCCAGTGGGGGAGATTTGGTCTTTTCAGATACTAATGGCATGATTTAGATTTAAAATGTCATTTTAAGAAAATGCAGTTTTGTCTTTTATTCTCTTCACTTAAAAACATACTGTAGAATTAATCTATTTCCTGAGAAAAAGTAGTTCAGTATTTAATATCGTTCCTTTATTTAACAATAGGCTCTTGTAACCTTCAAAGTTCCTTTTCAATATTCAACTTCAATTAATGACCAATTAATAAAGGTTGGGGGAAAACCCCTCTCTTCTTTTTCTAATATAGGAGAAATTAATCCAAATTTTATATTCTGGGTTATACTTGTAGTTAAATGAAAGAAAAGGTGGGGAATATAGTAAGCAGAATTTAGAAGCAGCAAGGATTCATGGTTATCTTTAAGGGCCAGCTTAATCTGAGCTCTTTCTTTATGGTGATAGAGTTTACCTGGTCTGGGATTTTAATTATCTGTATATACAGTAGTCTTGATATCTACTTGCAGGAGTGAAATAAATTGTAGAAACAGGAGATTATGTGTTTTCTTCTCACCCTTTCAACTACATTGTAGGCTTGTTACCATATCCAGATCTTAATCTTAGGCTGGTACATAAGAGAATTCTTGTAGGTGCTAGGTGAAGACAAGGATTTAGATTCCTCAAGCATATAGTTTTCCTCTTAGTGAAAGAGTCCTGGCACAAGAGTAGAAAGGAGTAAGTATGGTTGGCCTAAGGAGCAGATGCTGGGAAGGTTAAACTTGACATGAAAAGTTCAAGTTGATAAAAGTTGATTAAAAAGGATTTGGATGCAGGTATCAAGAGAAGAAAGAATGAGAAGGTAGGTTGGAAATTAGAGGCTGGCCAAAAAACATCAGTCCTTGAAATAAACAACAATAACAAATAGGTATATGGGAATTTTCAGCGTGGAAATTCATATTTGTGTTAATGCCATATTCTGAAGTACACATTTTATTTTCACATTTTAATATCCACAAAGTATGATGTGTCATAATTTAATTGACTGCTTTTTTTAAATGGTACAAATGGAATTATTATCATATAATCAAGGGTACCTTAGGTTTGATGAAATGGGATATCTTTTGGTGTTGGACTGTTGTGATATAATTCTCAACTCTTAACACAGGGAGTTAAATTTTTTTCTTAATTTTTTTCTTTTTTTTCTTCCTTCCTTCCTTCCGTCCTTCCTGGGGATTGAACCTAGGGCTTTGCCCATGCGAGGCTAGTGCTCTGTCCCTGAGCTATACTCCCAGTGACTTTTCTTTTATTTTGACAGAGTCTTACTAAGTTGCCCAGGTTTGTCTTGAACTTGAGATTCTCCTGCCTCAGCATCCTGAGTAGCTGGGATTACAGGCTTGTATTACCACACCAAGCTAAGGAAGATAAATTCTGTATAGAAAATGCATTTCGATTGCTGGGTCTCTGCTTTTTATTTGAATTCCAGTTTAATGATAGTTTAGAGCCTGAAGGGGGTTGTAGTGAGTGAGTTGTGGCTCAGACTCACATCAAAGTGCATTTCATTGGCATAAAGAGCACTGGACTGAGTGGTGGACCATATTAGGCCAGGTAATGGATGATACCTGGTTACTTTTTTTGGTCAGAATTGTTCAGAGTTTTGATATTCTGGGAATTCTAGGTATAGTGTCAGGATCCTTAAGTGTAATTTAATAATCAACAGTCTTTCTAAGTGTGAGTAGTCAAAAATGCATCTCAAGTTGTTGCTTCTGCCACACAGTAGTGACTGTTCCTCAGGGAGCTTTTGCTGTTGCTTTTGGAATTGGAACCTCACAGTGGCATAGCATCTGGTTTCCCATCTATCTTTCCTTAGTATTTTGCTGGAGCCTGATTGTATCAAGTTTGCAAGCAGAACATTTAACACTTAGATTTCTGTTGTGTACTCTATAATGTTAGCAGATTGTAGTGGTTTCTGGGTAGCAATATTAACTCAGGATTTAGGAACTCACTTTTGTAAAGTATGAAATTTGGATTTGTGTTGTTCAAAGAATGAAGAAAATTACTACCTGTGCCATATATCAATTTGAAAGTTTTGTTTGAACTTGTTATTAAGATTTTTGTGTTTGGCACTCTTCTATTTCATTATCATTATTTTACTTTTTTGCTCAAGCAAAAATTCTGTGTTAAATTATACTTTCCAGGACATTAGAAGAAAATTATTTGTACTTTTATTACCTATTTGCATTTAAATTTTTTTGAATTGCTGCATGCAGATATTTTCTATGGATCAGAATTAATTTGTAAGAGCTCTCTTTATATTTGTAATACTGTTTATCATACATGAGTTACACATATTTTCTCCCAACCTGTTGTCTTTTGACCTGGGGTATGGCAGTTTTATTATGTAGTTTTGTTCTGGGGAGATTTTATTGGCTATTTAAAAATCAAACATCTTCCCCTTCCCGTAGGAGGACCATGTCATTAGACTTTGGCAGTGTGGCACTACTGCCACAAAATGAAGAGGAAGAATATGACAAAGAAGATTATGAAAGGGAAAAAGAGGTGAGTTACTCACAAAAAGGACCCTAGGCCCAATCTTTAACAATTTGTACTTAATGATAAAAATTATATCATCTTTGTCATTTTGAAGGGATTTATAATTCTTAAAAAAAAAACACAACAATACAACAAAATCCTAAAACCTGAAGGCTACTTGGACCTGAGAAGGTAGATGAGTGGAATGCTTCTTTCTTTGAGAGAAGAATAAAACACAACTTAGTGTTGCCATCAGATAAATAGTTCAATTCTTTAAGAATTTTTATTTAGGAGACAATGAATGGCTGTGGAAGGAGAGGCCAAGTTTCTGTGCGTGGAACAGAAAATGGAGTCTTCAGGACGTTTATAGATGAGTGGCAGACAGTAAATAAGAAAACAACCGAATAAAGTAATTTGAGTAAGTGCTGGTATATCACTGGTTACTCAGTGAATAGGCCATTCTCAAATTCCAATCTCCATATCATCCTGATCAGCTGTACAATTATGATCTTGCTTTTGTCATTTCTGTTCCCTCCATTGTTTGCATTGAAGATCAGTTGGAGAAAGTGCATTTAGTCTTCAGGAAAGGAAAGGACTTCCTAAATAAATGACTTGATAGTCAGAGGACATTTACAGCAAATGGAATCTCAAACCACAGACTACCATGAATAGACTCATATTTCAGACAAAAGCCTTCAATCATTTTATAGAAAAGTAAGGCACTCTAATAATTTTTAAATTGCTGTATCTATGGTGTACTGATATATATGGCAACATGGTATCTATCATGCCAGTATTCATATCAATTAATTATTGCACATTATTCATATTCCTCACAACTTACTGGAGCATAATATCTTGGTGTACCATTTGAGAGCTGCTGTTGTAGTTGTCCTTGCTACTCAGTAGACCTCATTCAGAATATTTTAGGCAAATGTTTACAAGTAAAATATATAAAGCTGGGCCACAAAAGAAGAATTCAAAAGCTCTTTTATTAACTCGTCCATAATGTAACAATGTGACTTTACAAAATGCCTTTCACCTAAAGTTGCCTACAGTGTGATTTCACAGTTATTACAGATATGCTTGTGGTTATGCTTGAGATAAGAATGGTTGTTATAAGCATAAAGCCACAGCTTAAGGTAGATTGTCATTTGGGATTGTCAGTCTGTTGAAGTATACATGTATTTTCTGCAATGTCACCAGAAGTAGCTCTGTGATAATTGTTTGTTCCAGATAGTACAATTATGTATGTATGTACATATATATTCTGGAGCTGGTAGTTTGGGGCAGAAATAACTTAGTAATCTGTGCTGTCAAGATAAATGCTCATGATGGCTCATTTAATGATAATATATATATTTGAAAGTGATCTTGGTAAAAAGGGAGGTGATTTAAGTAGCAGGTAGCAGACAGAACCTTGAACCTGGTAATGCTGCTGTGGGTCCTCTGAGTTTTTATATTGGTACTTCTCCTCTAATAGAATAATAAAGTTTCATTGAGCTTGGAATTGTGTATTTTAGAGGTAGATTTTATAATCAGTACCTTTTCCACATTTTAACTGCCTTGCTTTGATGTAGTTATAGAAACATTTTTATATTTTGTTTCCACTAGAGGGGGCTARTGTTTATTTACATTCCATATGATTTGATTTATTTAGTGAGATTTTCTTGTCATTCCCCAGATAGTTCAATTAGCAAATGGTTATGTCTTGATATTATATATATTTTTAATCCATTTCTTATGCCTTATCTGGATTGTGTCTTGTGAGTTTTTCCCAATGCTATACAGGTATCTTTAAAGGAATATTGAATGATCACTGTCTGGGTTGAAACTTAATTGTATACAAACAGGTAGAAATAGTGTCATCCAGTAACCAACTTCATGTCATATTGAAGAAGAGGACAGTGGAAATGGGGAGATTCAGACTCTAGGTTCCAGCTCTGCACTTGACCTGTGTTTCCCTGGCTTGCCCTTCAAGTTTTCTGGACCTTGGTTTGCTACTTGCCTTTAAAATGAAAAACTTGACATGGAGGAACTCCAGTGATTGCTCTTGGCCTACAATACTATTATGCACCATCTATAGTGTGGCTCATACTTGTCTAATAAATGTTTCTCTTTCAGATATACAGCAACCTAGACCAGGTCTCCCCTACTTACACTATGGAATTTAGTTTAGCTTATGAAATGCTTCCCCCACACCTTGCATCTGAACATAGCATAATTCATAAACTAAAGGTATAGCTGCCAAGTTATTCTGGCCCTTTATCATTCCCATATTGGACCTTTACAAAGTATGTTTTAAAATGGTTCTTTGATTAAAATAGATCTGCTTAGTGTGTATCAATGAAAGCTTTATTTTATAATTCATTTTAAAAAATACCAGAATCTCTTCAGAAGTGCACTTGCCAGGTTGCCTGCTCCAAGGGTTGATGACTGTTGGTTACTCCATTTGTTGTTTTTCTCTTGGGAGAAAATGTATTGTATRGTTTGTCATCTGAGAACTTCTGCTTTCATGAATACCAGGGGATTATAGGCTCTGAAGACAGTCTGTTTAGTCAATTTAAGTGGAAAATCCTAACAAAGGGCTGACATATTGTCTGTTTTACATTCACTCCTGAACAGAAGTTGTTGATGAAATTCTTTGAGTTAAATGCCCTCTTTTTCTTTTTAGGAAATAAACATGAAGTAATAAAGGAAGAGGAGTTTATAGAATGATTTAGAATGTGTTTTAGTAGAAGCTTTAACAATAACATATTCTCTTTTTTCTAGGGGAGGTATCTCTTAAATTACTAAACTCAGTCGATAGACAATAATATCCCACTGAGAAGATTGCTACTTGCAGTCAAAAAAAAAAAAAAACAGTCTGTTGAATTTGAAATTAATGAGGGATTAAATCTTGTCATTTATAAGGATTATTAATTTTGTCCTTCAGTCTGTATTTGGAAGGTGGCAGATCTAAATGAGGAAAATTTAGTTTCTAAAATTCTCTATTTGTTATCATGGATAGGTCAATACGGCAATTTTGTGTTTGGTGGCACAAGGTTTAATGACCAAAAACAAAATCTATTTGACAGTGGATAGGAGGAGGGCACACTTTGATCCTGAGCAGTGGAGATGTTGAGGGTGGGATTTTGTTCCTGAATGACCTTATTAGAAGGACTTCATCTCATTTCGTTTCTCTCTGTCCTGAAAGTTATAGAAGCTAAGGAGGGGGATCCAGCCAAACCAAAGAACTTGATGGAGAAAATTTTTTTTKTTGTTTTAAGAGAGAGAGAGAGAATTCTTTTAATATTTATTTTTTAGTTTTCAGCAGACACAACATCTTCGTTTGTATGTGGTGCTGAGGATCGAACCCGGGCCGCATGCATGCCAGGCGAGCGCACTGCCGCTTGAGCCACATCCCCAGCCCCAAATGGAGAAATTTTTTGAAGATGAACTAAACTGTTTAAAAATGTTAGCATATATGTAAAAATATAAGACTCTAGATACTACAGGGATGAGATTTATTTTTTTAAATAGCTTTAATTATTATTTATTTATTGTTATGTGGTGCTGAGGATCGAACCCAGTGCCCCACGCTTGCTAGGCAAGCTCTCTATCACTAAGCCAGAACCCCAGCCCGGAGGGCTGAGTTTTCTAGTTAGCAAATTAATCTTTGGATCCAGAAGCATTTTGGTCAGCTGATTTCTCACACTCAACTTAATTTTCTTCCACGGATGCCAATTTTGTGGTATCACAAAGAAAGCAACAATAACTGCTTAATTATTATGTAGCTATTTCTGTCTTTGTGAGGCAGGGGGAAATGAATGGTTCCAATGTCTTTGGCAAAGTTCCCCTGAATTATAAGGCCATGTACTTGAACCTCACTAAAGGTTTAGAAGAAAATATTCTTTCTGTTCAGGAATCCTTACTTGATGTAAGTATGAAAGATTGATTTTATTGTTATTTTCTCTTGTGTAACATGTGAGGCAGTGTTTTCCATAAAGCAGTGATGCTTAGTTCAGACAGAACAGGTTGGGCTACTTTTGAAAGACATCATAGATATTTATTTTTTCCCCAGTACATTGTCTTTATAGCATGGTTTTGCTACCTTTCACGTGAGGCAAGTAATATTCTTATATATTGATGTGTTTTGTTTGTAGTGTGTTGTTTTTTATTCTTTATAATTTTTGATCAACTCTGATGTGTCTATCACTAATATGGCAAACTGATTTTTCAACTACCCTGCATGAGCAGATAGGCAAGGATTTGGTTGTTAATATTAGTATTTAGCAGATTTAAAGGTGAAGACAACTTTTCATTGAAATGCATTTTTCTTTTGTTTCATCTTTAACCAATCAAATTCACTGAGAAAACTTTTTTTTTTTTAATCCAGGAATATCAGAAATATACGTGGAAATAAGAAAGTATTTACTTTGTCTACTTCACATTCTCCATTCTCATTTCCAAATTTTATTTCACTATAACCTGGTTAACAATTTGGGACATTCTTTTCAGAACTTTTCTAAGAATATATTTATTTTCGTTTTTCCTGAATGTTTTAAGAAAGTTTGTAAAAAAAAAATTCTAAACCCCAATACTCAGATATGAACTGCAGCTATGTTCCATTTCTTTTATACTAGTGACAGAGAAACTGGAAAACAAAAGCAAAAAAGAAACAAAAACCTGCCATAAACCAAAGAACATCTCATTTTTTTCCTCCAAGGTTTTACAGAGTATTTAATGTCTTTAAAAGTCACTCATTACATAATTTTATGGGATTGAATTATGCACTTTGGAGGGACTTAGTCAACTTGTTAACTGGTGCTTAATTTCTTAAAGAGAAGTCATGATGAGCAGTCCCCTTATAAACTGTTTAGTAATGTAATATTTGAATCTTCTAATTGTTACAAATTTTAAGACACTGTGTTGGGACATGAAAAAAGACAATTACCCATCTTGAAATTCGACAAATTTTTCTTTTTATCACAATTTATCTCAAAACTTGAATGGATCTATTTTATCTATCTAGTTCATGTAGGCAGAATGTTAAGAAGAAAACTTTCCTAGAATAAAATTGGAAAGCAAAGTCAGATTATTTTATGTTAGTATTCTGCTTTTGAGAATGCTATCGTAGAAAGCCAGAATCTTCTGGCCCTCTTTTTACTCAAATGTCTTATTATAGTCCAGAGTATTGTATATCTTTTCATTACTGGAATTATATAACTGACTACTAATTAGTTACTCCCAACAGGATTTCTCTCACATTGTGGGAGCTTATGGACTTTTAGGCCACCTGCTGCTGCTGTTCTTACTACCTAGGCAAAGTGCATCTGGCAACTCAGATTCCCTGTGGGATGTCTGGTTATCAAGTCCCCAAGGTCTAACAAGGGGCAAAACAGGACTCTGCAATGCAAGTCTGCCCTTTGACAACATAATACAATGACTGTACCATTATTATGACTTGCTATACTACTATAAAAAAGTTTTTCAATTCTGCTGTAATGTGTGTGTTTTTAAATCTAAGATCGTTGTAGAAAAAAGTAAAGCCTTCTAACATAAATCCTGATATTATGTATTCCTTTTTCCTTAAGTGAAATGATGAACATAATTCATGTGGAATTTAAGAAATTAGTTAAATGGAAGAATTAAACTTCCAAGGCTTGTCACTTGCTGTTCCAAGGCAGCTTTGGTTGGCATCTTGGGTTTAGTCAGTGATACTGATGTGGACTTTTCTGACTCAGTTGCAGCAATTGCTCACCGACCTTCCTCATGATATGCTGGATGATGAGCTCTCCTCCCCTGAACTTCACTTCTCAGACTGTAGTATGGACGGCACAGCGGAAGAGTAAGGACCTAAAATCACTTTTCCTTGCATGTTGCATTTTATGTATTTTTTTTTTTTTGGTTCTTGCTGGTAATAATGTAAGCAATTGTAAAAATTGTTGACTTAATTCTTAAATCTTTGGGTAAAAGTTGAAGGGGAAAAACAAATATAAGAATCTTTGGGTTCTCTGTGTTTATATCTAAATAAATGATAGGCTTTAAATCTAGAATATTGATTTTTCTCAAGAGTGCATCCTTCTGAGCAATTGGAGATGAACTGGAACAAGCATCAAATTCTGCCCAAATCTCAAAGTATAAATGTAAGTATCTGATGTGATCATGACTGTGAATGAGGGTGGGAATAGATTTTAGAGCTTTTATTTTACTCTGTCATCTAATAGCACTATAATGAAATTCAGGGCTTATATATTGGAGAAAAAAGTGGCAATGGCTGGGAAGAGAATCAAAATAAAACTGAAGACCAACATCCTGAGTACCATCTCAAAGAAGATGGAGATGAAGGTGGGAGTGGCTATAGTCCTCCAAGCAAAAATGAACAGACTGATTTGTATTGCCTTCCTGAAAACTTCAGGCCTTATACCAGTGGTCAGAAGCAGGAATTTAATAACCAACCAACCAGTGTAGTTAAATTTTCTGATCCTCAGAGGAACCATTTTCAGGTATTGTAAGAATTTGACTTTTAAGAATTTGTGTGTACATGCATTTGCATGATGTATGCATGTGTTTAAGAAATGCATGTAAATGCGATGGTAAGATGATTTATTTTAACTACAAGAATTTCTGAGGGTACAAATATTCAGTTGAATTAGTCATGCTATCTTCTGTTTACAATCAAATGCAATTATGATCTTAAATCAAAAGTTTAAAATAGGAGCTTTTTGGAAACAGTTATTTAAACATTAAAAGTGAAGTATGCTATAGAATAACTGTCCTGCACTGCTGCTTCTGGCTCTGCTATTTCAGTGTGCTTCAGTTAAAAGTTATGTTTAGGTGTTTTGATAATAGGGTTTAAAACAGTAATTTTATAGATTACAGCATTTGGTTTCCTCAATTTTCTTGCTTGCTACTCTTATAACAAATTTTAAGTCAAACACTTCAAAGCTAATGCCTGTTTTGTGTGGTGTTATAGTAGTAGATAGGATGAATTAACACACTTTGTTTTTACTGTGAGCAAGTTTAATGAAGTAAGACCTCAGGATACAGTTAGTTGCTTTGCTTCATAGAATTTTCCAGTGACAACAAATGCCTCACTTTGCCAATTGCCATTCTGTGTCACTCAATGACAGGATGCTTTTTTTGGTCCAATTAAGGTGGCTATTTTTTCTCAATTCTATTTCTGGACAATGTTACTCATTCCATAACTATTGAATGTTTATTATATATAAGGCATTGTATCACATGTTCTTGCTATTATGTGCATTTTTATATTCTCTAGATATTGAAATCATCTAAATCATTTGTAATAAAATATTTGTGTATAATTTCATTGGGATTTGAGTTTTATTTACAAAATTGTACAATAATTGTGTTCAAAAGTACAATGAAGTATTCAATAACAATAAGCACTGTTTTTGAGCAGAGATGTCTATAAAAAAATTTGTAATGATACCACAATTAGCTTCTATAGCATAAAATTAAGGTGTCTAATTGAGAGAATTTTGGAAGAGAAGGCCAAATCCTAATTGTTCATTTCGTTTGTCATCTTATAATAGCAATTTGGTTCATCACAAGGTCCCAGTTGTCAAGCTTTGGCGCCATATAAAGTGAAATATAAACCTTATCAATCTTCTGTCCAGGATAACTTTCCAGTCCAGGAAATAGCAGGAAGTGACACACTTGAAGGCCTGCAACAACAATTCCTAGGAGCTAGTGAAAGTAGGTATTACATTTATAGTTATTTCTAAATAACATAATTGGGAAATTTTGAACACTGAGTGGATATCTGAGCATATTCAAGAATTATTATTTTTTTAAGCGTGACAGTAGAACTTCTGTGGTTGATATTTCAGAGTCTTTATTTTTAAAGCTCTATAATGAAGTATTTGTGAATAAACGATAGAAAGTCTAGAACTTACTTCAGAACAATGTGTTGGGTAGGAGTATAGATGAAGCAAAACTTGCCATGAATTCATAATTGTTGACTGTTCCTGGGAAATGGGTGTGTGTGGGTTCATTGTGCTATTCTTTCTGCTCTCATATTTTTGAAATTTTACATAATTAAAAAGTTAAAAGAAGGAAAAATATATTTTTTAAATTTTGTATTGGGGATTGAACCCAGGGTGCTTAACCTCTGAGCCACATCCCTAACCTCTTTTAATTTTTTTTTTTTTTTTTTTTTGATCTCCCTAAGTTGTTTAGGCCCTTGCTAAGTTGCTGAGGCTGCCTTTGAACTTGTGATTGTCCTGGCTCAACCTCCTGAGCTTCTGGTATTATAGGCGTGCAACACTGTGCCTGAAAAAAAGAAAAAAATTTAATAATATTTTAGTCATTCTAGATTGTTAAGAACTTTTTATGAGCTTCATATATTTCTTATTGGACTCTACTTTGGAAAAAAGACAATTTTCTCATCAACCTCAGATTTTTTATTACATAGAAATGTAATTTGACAAATCAGCCATTATTAGCTTTTCTTTTGAGTCTTACAATTTTTGTGTAACGATTAGGCAACTCTCATATATATATACTTTATGTTCAGAATTTGATATAGGTCTCAGATTTAGTCATGTGGTAGTTGCCTCCAATGTTTTTTGTACAGTGTGTATATCAATATGATAATAAAAAAAGAGCTTATAGCTACTAGAGAATTTTGAGATGAAATGCTTGTATCATAAATATCAAAACTTGAACAGCGACTATCCTGAATTGTACATCTAGCTTTTATTGTCATGCTCAGTGGCATAGTAAATTACTTCTAATTATTGTGTGTGTTGCAGAGCCAATGTGATTCTAGAGTGTGACTACAAGTTTTGTTGTTGTTTTTCCTTTAATTAATGGTGGAAAGGTCATTCTGGATACTTTGGGTTACCTGGGCTACCCCGAGAAAACTGGATACATGTTGTGATTTCGTAGTATTGCTTCCAGCATATGCTGGAATATATACCATGGGATGATACCTAAAAGGTAGGGAGAGGCCCAGAATTCACTTTCTCTTGAAGGGGTCATCAGCAAATATGGTGTCCTTTCTTTGTTCATATGTTTCTGTGGGATGAGGAAGTGTATTTGGCACAATTGGCTTTAGGCTGAATAACAGGCATCACAGCAGTGGCCTGGTGTTTCTGTGTCTCCCGGTCTTTCTGCATACATAATCTTTCAACACCTTTCTTATCTATCTACGTTTTTTAAAATTGGTTACATATTTGCCTAAATTTGATATTTGGAAGTTAATTAAATAATTTAATGGGGGCTGGGGTTGTGGCTCAGCGATAGAGCGCTTGCCTAGCTTGTGCAAGGCCCTGGGTTTGATCCTCAGCACCACATAAAAATAAATAAAAATAAAGGTATTGTGTTCAACTACAACTAAAAAGCAAATATTAAAAACAAAACAATAAGTTAGAAATTAAAATAAAATAACTTAATGGAAGAATTAACTTTGGTGATTACAGCTTCTTATAGCAATATCAGTTTTAAAAAAATGTGAGTTTGGAGAGGTGGAGTTTGCAGACTTTTTTTTTTTTTGAGCCAGTCTTGCTATAAGGCCTGAGGACTGTGACTTGGAACAAAGTTTTCAGTCTTTGTTTTTTGGATTTAACATAAGCATCTCTTTTTAAAAAGGGGACTGAGTTATCTTGTTGGTAACTAAAACTTCCTAAACTAGTAAGTAAAACTTCCTATTACTGATTATAGAAACATTAGCCTAGTTAATAGAAAATGTGAAATATTTATTGTTACATAATGAAGCATTAGCCTTCTCTTACCAGTTATTGTTTTCATTTTTTTCCCTAATCTTTTTAAGTATTCCTTTAAGATGACTTTGATTCTGAAAGATTTGGAAGTTCTTTATTAGTCTATTCTTAGTTAACTAATAGAGTAGTTATGTATATAAAGACAATATATTTAGCACTCCTGCCAAAGAAACACTATTTTGAGAGGGATATCTAGCAGGTTTTTTAAAAAATCATTTTAATAGAAAATGATATACTTATTTTGTTTTTAATTTTATGAAAGCATATTACTCTATTCTGTTGCTTTTATATGCAGTGATTTTTAATTGACCAAACTGGTCAATTCAGAGTAATACCCTAAACCAGTAAATTTCACATTTTTGGGGCAGTGACACATAGTAAGAAGTACATTTTTTTACATTGTGATATGGTCCACAATATAAATCAATGTAAGTAAGTATATGTAAATGAAAAAAGTTTCACAGGGGCTGGAGTTGTGGCTCAGAGGTAGAGCGCTCGCCTAGAATATGTGAGGCACTGGGTTCGATCCTCAGCACCACATAAAAATAAAATAAAGGTATTGTGTCCACCTACAAATAAAAAAATAAATAAATGTTAAAAAAGGAAAGTTATTACAACATGAGATACTCTGATATATTACAGTTGTTCTATCTTGATTTTTTAAAATATGAGTCATAGTCCACTACACTGTTTTCACAATACTCTCAGAGATATCTGCACAGCTTAAAAAACACGGTCCTCAATGACCATATATTTATATCTTGGTTTGTTTTTATCTAACAAATTGTCTTTAATTCTAGATTCTGCAGAAAACATACAGATTATTCAGCTTCAGGTTCTTAATAAAGCAAAAGAGAGACAACTGGACAACTTAGCTGAAAAATTAAATGAAAGTGAACGTCAAATTCGTTATCTGAATCACCAGCTTATGATAATTAAAGGTAAGATACCAATTGCTGGGTGCCAATGTTTATGAATTACACTAGAGCTAAACATCTTGTTTCCAACATCCTCAGTTTATTTCTTCTTCTGTGTTTTTCTTTTTTTTTTTTTTTTAATTATTTCCAATCACCTCAAATTACTTGGTTTGAGGACTTACAGTGAAATAGAGCAAGACAAAACTCCAGGACTTCTAAGCCCTTTTCTTGGATTACTTCACTTCAAGTATATTATTTTGGAGTGCTCATTTTTTTCCCCCATTTTCTTCTTTTCCTTTATTTTATTCCCCCTCCTCTTTTCTCTTAAGCTGTTAGAATCAATGAATGTGATTTAACTATGCTGATGGCATTCTGCCCTAAAAAAGCTGTTGACTTCTTATGTCATTAAGTATGCCAATTCCCAGAGTGACTGTTTAGTTTGCAATGCAGCATTTTCTGAACCTATAGATTAGCATAAACATTTTAAGCCAAGTAGGAGTCTGAAATCCTGAAATGTTTTTGGTGTGCCACAGAGAAAACAGTGTCATTTCTGGTGTAATCACATAAAGGGAATTCAGATTCAGACGATAATTGGTTATTCTTCATGTTGTTTGTAGTTTTGGTTAATGCTGAACTTCATTGGCAGAATAATTTTGTGACTGAACTCCAGTTCATTTCAAATTTAATTGATGATGAAAACCTCTTTTTCTGTAATGCTCATAAAATTTATTTTGAGAGAGAAACTTGTGAACTGTTACTGCAAAGAATTTAAGATTAGGTGAATGAAAGAGTTATTTCAAGTATGTGTAGGGGGCAGGTAGTCTTCAGATACCTTTTTTGCTTAAAAGGGGTTTGTCACATCAATGTAGCTTCTCAGGTTAAAAAAAATGCTGAAATTATTAGGAGATTCTTTTGGTCCAAAGAGGATATAATAAAATGTTAAAGGCAGCATTTCTGGTTCACTGAAATATTTTTGGTGTCACTCAACTAATTTTTTTAAAATTTTAGTCATTTTTCTTATTTTCTTTAAGTCAACTAAAGTTCATATGTCTGAATTGAATTTGTTCAAAAGTATTTATATAAATCTGATTAGTATAAGGACAATCAGGGCCCCTCTACACTAACATTTATATAAACATTTTTAATGCTCTAGATGAAAAGGATGGCTTGACTCTCAGTCTTCGAGAATCACAGAAACTCTTTCAGAATGGAAAAGAAAGGGAGATACAGCTTGAAGCACAAATAAAAGCTCAAGAGGCTCAAATACAAGCATTAAAAGTCAATGAAGAAAAGGTACTTATTTTACCTTTATTTATGGTAAAAGAAAAGCAAAAAGTTATTAAATGAAGAGTTTAGTCACTAAACAAAACTTTTGGTAGAGTAGAAATAAATTTAGAAGAGCATTTTACCTTCCTCCACCATAAGCTTGCTTCTTGTCTGACCTTGGAGGAGGGGTGCTGCCATTCTCCTGGCCACCTACACATGTGTCCAGAAGACCAGCTCCTTTCTTCCCTTTTTCTCCAGTCAGCCATTAAGTTCTGCTGACACCCCCCTCTTCTCTGTCCATTCAGAATTTTACCTTCTTATTGCTAAAGTCTCTTAACCTGGTCTCTAGTCTTTATCCTTCCACATATTCTCTTATGACCATCTGAGTAATCTTTCCAGAATACAGTTTTGATTTTGTTATTCCCTTATATAGAGGCTTTCAGTGATTTACCTGTGGGACAAAATACAGTAATCAGGATGACTCTCTGATCCTTGACTCTGCTCTTAATCTCTTCAGACTTCACAGTCTGTTGTCTTTCTATACTCATATGTATCATTCGCCTCTGGTGTGCCTTTTCTACAGCACACTATTTGATTAACAAATCCCTGCAAACAGGTTTTCTCTAAGTCTCCCCTGCTTCCTTCCTCAAACCATCACATCTATTAAAATAGATCAAGAACACTTTGAAGGCATCATTGGGCTGCCCTCATCTTTGTAGACCCATGATCTAGGCCAGCAACTGGCATGTAGTTTGGTGGTTGGTATATGTTGAGTGAATGTAGTTGTTCAAAGTTGATCCATTTTTCTTATATATTTCTTTATTCAGGCTCTGATACTATTGTAACTAACTTTATGGTATGCTTTGAAATTGGTAATTAAGGTAGTAAAAAAAATTGTGTTTTGTTTACGTTTTCTTGTCTAGATCTTGCAAATAAACTTTTTGTATTTTGTAAAAAGAAATCTTGTTGATATTTTGATTAGCAAGGCATTGTAGTTTATCATTTTATAAATGAGTTCACCAAGTTTTGGAGAGGGTCCAAGTTTACAAAGCCAGGTATTGACTGAGCGTCAGAACCTAAATTTTCTGACTCCAATAGTTTCTTTTCTTTCTTTTATTTTTATTTTATTAATTTTTTTTTTTTAGTTGTAGATGAACACAATGCCTTTATTTTATTTTTTGTGTGGTGCTGAGGTTCGAACCCAGTGCCCTCCACATGCAAGGAGAGCACTCTACCACTGAGCTACAACTCGTTTCTTATCCTTATCTAGAGAAGGTATTCTTTTTTGGCTTGGTGGAGTGGGGGATGAGGCAGGTGATGACTGCTGCTGCTTAAACATTTGGGGAACTGTTCTTTAGATTCAACTTTTTTTGGATAGTGAATTGAACTTGGGGACTCGACCACTGAGCCACATCTCCAGCCTTATTTTGTATTTTATTTAGAGACAGGGTCTTACTGAGTTGCTTAGCACCTTGCTTTTGCTGAGGCTATCTTTAAACTTGTGATCCTCCTGCCACATCCTCCTGAGCTGCTGTGATTACAGGCTTGTACCACTGCACCCAACTAGATTCACTTTTTAATAGTGATTTTTTTTAGTGTATTATAGTTTTACATAATCATGGGGTTTATTTTTACATATTCATGATACATATAACATAATTTGCTCCATTTAAATCCTAAGCAAATGAATCAATGTCTTAGCAAGGAAAGCAGTGTTGGAATAAATAGGTAATTTCTAGAGTAAAGCATGGAATTTTCATGCATAATATGGATTATTTTTAACTTTTTGAAAACTGACAAACTTTGAGAAGTTAAATTTTTATATTGTAAAAGATTATAACATTGTAATCTTTTATAAGTTAGAAATTGCTAATAGAATATTTAAAAATAGAATATCATAAATAAAAAACTAAAAGGCAACAGAGTCACCAACTGTATATAGTTCCTATTACTTCTGTAACAGATTACCACAAATTCAGTGTCTTCAAATAATAGAAATTTACCTCACAGATCTGGAGGTCAGAAGTCTGATAAAGATCTTATTGGGCTAAAATCCAGGTGTCAGCAGGGCAGCATTGCTTTTCTAGAGGCCCTAGGGAGAGTCCACTTTCTTGCATTTTTCCAGTTTTTAGAGTTCACCTGCATTCCTTGCCTTGTGGCCCATTTCCATCTTCAGAACCAGCAGCATCTGGTAGAATCTGATTTTTCCACTATTTATGGACTCAGTGGTTACATGGGGCCCATATGGATAAACCAAAATAATCTCCTTATTTTAAGGTTATCTGATTAGTAATATAAATTCCATCTGCAACTTTAATTTTCTCCTGTTCTATAATATAACATATTCATAGATTTGGGGGATTAGGAAACCCCTTTGAGGACATTGTTTTACTTACAGTACTAGCTATACTTTCAAAAGTGTTTTTAATGGGGCATGACGGCACACACCTATAAGGCCAGCTACTTTGGAGGCTGAGGCAGGATGACTTCAGCCAAGGAGTTCAAATCCAGCCTAGGCAACATAGTGAGATCCTGCCTCAAAAAAACCAAAATAAAACTTTGTTTTGGCAAATTTTAGCAGTCTTTTAAGGATTGGTTATAATTTTTCTTTGACCTAACCCAACCCTATTGGGTTGCCCCATACTTTGCTCACAGATCAATGCACATACTAATAGCACCAGTTCACTAGCAGCAGGTTCCTTGCCTGTAAGTTACCCACATTGCTATCATGCTGTGAAAATCCTTTCTTTCTTGTAAGGTAAATGCAAAGTCTATTTTTTCAATGAATATTGTTTTCAACAACTACAGGCCCCTTGGGCAGCAGCTAGAGAAACTAAGACCTTGATGTGGGAGACCCCTTCTTCTCCACTCTTATTAAAGCCTGATTGAATTTTAAATAGGGCTCACAGGGTTAAGTACTCTCACCATGGATATCCTATGCGTATTTACTAGATGATCAAGAAGTCTAGAACAACTGAAATGGCTCTGGAAAGCTTGAAGGAGCAACTGGCAGAGCTTCATCATTCTGAGTCGCTTCAACGAGCTAGAGAGCAGCACGAGAGCATTGTTATGGGCCTTACAAAGAAGTATGAAGAGCAAGTGTCATCCTTACAAAAGAAGTTGGATTCTACAGTTGCTGCACTTAAAGAACAGGTTGGGATGATTTCAGATGACCAACTACTATCAACAAGTAAAGTTGGTTATGTTTTATAACTGATATTTTGCAGTACTCATATAGAAATCTTGGATGTTTGCAGTAGGTGTTTGATTGTAAATGAAACTTAAAATTTAATGATGTTTCAATCTATGAATAGATTCTGGAAGAATACTTTTGGAAACCCTTTTTCCTATAGAATTGGTTAGTACTTTCTCAATTTTCATTTTACTAGTCTTTTATCTGTAGAGTATTTATGTGTGTTCATCACATTGTCCTAGAATAACTCCAGCATGAAAGAAATGAGTGCTGGAGGCTGGCCAGAACCTGAGAGTTTGTCCTCAGAGCTTAACCAGGGTCTCAACATTTGATAGAGTGTTGAGAAATGGTCAACACTCTGATAGAGTCAGTAGAGTGTTGAGAAAATGGTCCTTGGGATTAGAGTTAATTTTGAGAATACAGTTTGAGCAATTCTAACCTGAAAATCTGAATTCCAAAATGTTCCATATAGTTGACGTGACAGTTCAAGTGGAAAGTTCCAACCTAACCTCATGTAATAGGTTGCAGTCAAAATGCATCTGCACTAAAATATCCTTAAAATTCCCTTCAGGCTGTGTGTGTAAGTGTATAAGAAATGTAAGTGAACTTCATATTTAGACTTGTACCTCGTGCACAAATACCTGATTACATATATGCAGATATTCCAGAATTGAAACATTTCAGGTAAGGGATACTCAACCTGTAGTGTAATGTATAAAATAGAGAAGAAAATCTCATGTAAACTCGATTTGAAGTTTGAGCTTATTTCACAGGCATTATTTATTATTTTTGCTCAAAAAGGAATAAAATATTATAGGCTGAGGTGAGTTAGGTGGCAGGTTTACTTGTGCTCCAAAATGTTTGTTAATCATTTGAATAAAATTTCAGAATGCATTTATTCTAATGCAATTTCAGAATTAATTTAACCCAAGGGAAGAGAAGAAGAAACAAACTTGCAAGAGTATGGAAAGCATCATCACACCTAAAATGATTCCTGATTTGGGTTATTTCTGATTCATATAGGACTCTAACTTTCCCATACTTTTCAATGGTTATATATAAGACTACATTATTGGTAGTACTAATTGTTTATATACAGTTTTATGTGTAACTATGAGTTCTTGCTAGATTTGTTTTACCAATTATGTTTTTATTTTATATAGAAAGATATTGTGAATTTGATTATATGGAGAATATACAGGAGTGGAGAAAGATGAAGACTGTGCCAAATTATTGAAAAGTCTATTTCATAGACTATTTAAACAAATATAATTGGATATTTATTAATTTTATTTTAAAACTGCCATCTATTTAATTATTTATTAATTTTGGCCCAATGCAGTATAGTAGAATTAAAGTGAAAATGGTCATTGATAGATGTTAGAAGAAGAATGGAGTATGGTGTCTCTTCCACGTTAGGTTATTTGAAGCTCTATGTTCTCTGTTGACTTTGACATAGTTACATTGGGGACAGGCTAGAAGGAATTTATAGTACGTTCTGCCCTGTACTACTACATTCTTTATTTTCATCATCCACTCCCTTCTTTAACCTTCAACTAGCTGACAGGAAAAAGTCTTCATTCTCTTTCACACTTCAAAAGGTGTTGATTAAGGTCTTTCCCACTGTTACCCTTCATGACTGGTATTATTTTTTAACAGAGCATGTCACTGGTGTTAGAATTAACATATTTGCACATTTGCTTAACAAGGTGATGATTCCAAAGGGGCTATGGTTGGTTGTTTCTGGGAATGTTTTTATGGTATCCTTTCTGTGCTGTCAAATTGTTATCTATTGGGTTAGCAGTACTTATTATCTCAGAATCCAAATTGAGATTCCTGATTAGGTAAGTGCTATAAAATCAACTAGGAGCCAGGGAGATGTGTGGGAGACCAACCTTGCATGAGGCTGGGTTATTGCCCCTGCTGGGAGATGTGGCATCAGGCACCCATGCTGCTAGACTGCCCTGCTCTTCTAGGGTTCCAGTGACTTGTGTCTTCCTGCCCAGGCTTGTCTTCCTTACTGCCCCATGGGTGGAGCTATGTTCACCTGTTTCTTTGTAATATAATCCCTTGCCCTGTTTAGGATAGAATCTTCCATGGAAGTGCCTTGTGTGTGTCCCCCTCTCTTACTGTGCCTTTGGGTGTGACCTACCCAGATGTCAGTCAACCTGCTGACAGTGGACATCATGAAGATAGACTCAGCCCCCTGAAACCTTACCCCTTGCCTCATTTGAATAGCTTCTCCTCAATAAAAGGGGTCAGCACGTGCTCTCTCTCTCTGTCTTCCTTCGGACCCTTAAGGTCAGAGGAGCCATCACAGCGACCCCAAAGAAAAAGATATTTGTGTCTCTTGTGTGGTTATTTTGCGCACCCCAGTTAGCCTAGTTCAACTAGAGTAACCCCTGAGCCTTTTAATCGTGAACAGAAACCTGGCAGAGATGTCTTCTTGAAACTAGAAAAATGCATGAGTATGTTCTCTACAGAGTTAATTTAGAATTTCTTACATAACTGATAACTACCCATACATACTACATTTTGCCCTTCTTTTTTTTTTTAACAAATTTACCAAAGAGGTATAAAATATTCCCTTTCATCTAACTCTTTCTCCAGTATACATAAAAAATAAAACAACTCTTGGAAAATAGTGGTAAGGTACTGGATAATTTACCTTGTTGAAATTGAGTAAATAGCTAGATTTACTCCACTAGCTAGATTGAATGGCTCTTATGTAATCATGCATAACTGTTTCTGTATACTGTATGTACACAATGTTAAGAGTAAATGTTCACACATAGTAAGTTTTGCTAGTTACAGAGGTTTGGAACCTCCTAAGGCAGTACATGACTAAGCTCCAGGGAGTCTATGAATCCTCTGAAATGATGGGTAAGATTTTCTATTGGGGTGAGAGTGCACAATTTTGTGGAAAAGACCTATCACCTTTTTAAGATTTTCTAAGAGGTCCGTGCTTCTCTTGCAAAAGATTGAAAATTCTTGCTTCATAAAGATATTGTTCTTAGTGGGAATGAACAACTAAATTGTAAACGAATCCTATTATCTCATCTATTCAACAACCTTTTCCTGAACAACTAAACATAAAAGTTGTAAACAGGCTTTTGTAAGTTAAATTATGTGTATATGTATATATAATTTTTTTTGAGCAGTTTTAGGTTTATACCAAAGTTGAGTGGAAATAACAGCATTTCCCATAGTCCCTATTTCCCCACATATACATAATCTGTTCCATTATTAATATCTTTCACTAGAGAGTGATATATGGAATTTTTCATGTAAAACTTTAGTGTTATTCAGTTTGTTAGTATCCACAAAATAATTAGCTGGGATTTTGATTAGGTTTGCGTTGAATCTGTAGATAAAAATTGGAAAAAAGTGACATCCTGACAATATTGGGTATTTATTTCATGAACATGGAATACTTGTTCATATATTTAGTTCTTCATTGATTTCTTTCACCAGAGTTTTATAGTTTTAAAGAGCTTTTATATATTTTAGATTTATATGTATTTCATGTTTTGGGGATGCTAATATAAATGATATTGTGTTTTAAATATTTAATTTAAGTTCTACTTGCTCATTATTGATATATAGAAAAACAATTGACTTTTTTGGATTAACCTTGGATTCTACAAACTTGCTATAATCACTTATTAGTGCCAGGATGGTCGTATTGTCTATGGGTAAATATATTTTTCATCCTTTCCAATCTGTGTACTTTTTATTTCCTTTTATTGTTTTATTGCATTGAGTAGAATTTTCCAGTATGATGTTGAAAAGCAGTGATCAGAGGGTCATCCTTGCCTTTTTCCTGATCTTTGTGGGAAAACTTCAAGTTTTCACTGTTAGGTTTAGTTTTAGTGTTTTTTTTTTTTTTTTTTTTTAAATCAGATGAAGACGTTCTTCTTGATCAAGTTTGTTGGTTTTTAAGTCATGAATTGGTATTTAATCATTTTGTAAGACAGAATTCTCTAATTCCATGTGATGGGAGGGGGTAACAATCTGTAAGAGAGTTGGGTTTTTTTGAATGTCTGTAACTGGTATATTTTGAGAAATATGTATCTTATAAAATAATATCATTTAATATTTTCCTTAAGATATCATTCTGTGTAGAAAAGATTGTTATACATGTACAAACACCATGTACAATTCTTTTTTATTTTGACTGAGTGTTAAGTTTTTTTTAGTGTAAGAGAAAAGATGGGAAGAAATGGTTTCCTTGGAGCTCATGGAGTTTCTCTAATGACAAAGAATGGGAGAGGGAACTATTTCCTAATAGTTATTATGTCTTGCACTATCTTCTCCCAACTTTACTTTACCTCCTCCCATTTGTAGAAGTATCATATTACGATCTTTGATTATCTCCTTGATGGTGTATTACCTTTCTTTAAGCTGGTGGAGCTTTAGAACTGTGCTTCTCAAGCTGGCCTGGGAATCAGCAGCAGTATGCCAAGAGGTTTGCAGTGCTGAATAAACATGGACTAGTTTCTAGAAGCTTCATTTTACTAAAAAATTTGGTAGAAAATTTTTAAAGCAAACACAGCTACATTATGAAATAGCACAAAAAAATTTACATGAATTTTTAAAGTAAAATGAGAGCTTTTAGAATCCCTTTCCTATGTTTAGGAAACTTCTGTTAGTTTCTTTTTGGGATGTACTTATGTATTCTTAAAGCATTTTTGGGCTTTAGGTTATTCTGTGGATCTGGCACCAAAGGCCTTCCTTCTCTCTGCTTCAAAGCCCCTTCTTGATATTCTCTTAACTACTTKTTTTTTTTTTTTTCTCTCTCTCTTTCAAGAATTTCAATCAACTATCTATATCTATTCTAATGCCTCTTGGTGTTCTGCCATTTGCCTGAAATTCAGCCAGGGTAGCCATTTTTTTAATGAGGTGATGATTTCTTCTACCTGGGTTTTGGATTTCCATGGCTTGTACTCCCAAGCACATTTTCTTTTTGGAGAAACTTGAGTGTATTGTTTATATATTCTGTATTATTTATACATCCCCATACACACACACTCACACTCATTTACCCTGTCTGTTTTTTCATTGTCATTCAGTTTTTAAATGCTTACTGTAGTAGCACAGTAGAGGCATCTTCAAGGAAAAAATTAAGGAAATAAGACATATAAAAGGAAGAAAAAGAAGCATAAGAGAGAAACAGATCTAAGTTTTAAAAAAGTTCAGAGAAGGGAAAGATTAYTTTTGGCTATCCTGAACAGAGCGAGCTTTTGGCTGCTTAGAGTAGAGTGAGTTTCCATGTGTTTATCTATATCCTTACTGTCCTAGGATACAAATTCCATGATTCAAACTGGTCTGCCTAAATATGTATACATATACTTAAACTGGTAGCATAAAATGCAGAGAAGAATTGTAATTCGTTTCCTGTGGCATAAATAAAATCTAACTTTATTTTGTGATTTTGTGAATGTGGAGTAAAAGGGGACTTTAGGAATCACCTTTATCAGCATAATTACGAAAGAAGCCAACTGAGATATTGAGCCTAAGATCATATAAGTTTTTTCTTTTGACTCCCAGTCTTGCGCACTTAGCCCCCGAAAAGTGATGCTGCAACGTGATGAGTATATATTTGATTTAAAATCCGACAGTGTATCAAAATTTCAGTCTAATATTTCTTAAAATTGATCCTGAAAATGACTTCTTGAACCCTTTTTCTATGTAGGAAGATATTTGTTCTCATTTGAAAGATCACGTGAAACAACTGGAAAGGAGTCAAGAAGCTGCCAAATTAGAAAAAACTGAGATCATTAACAGGTTGACGAAGAGTCTGGAAGAGAGTCAACAACAGTGTGCCCAGTTGTTGCAGTCAGGTGGGTGCCTTGTTGGGCTACTGTCTCCCCAGAAGCCCAGTGTAATGTTTAGAGAGAACACAGTAGGAACCATGGTTGATAAAAACCCAGAAAATGTCAACAGAGAAGACAACCAGTGACAAATTTCTTTTTTTAAAAAAATATTGTTATATAGGTATAAAGGCACAGATCATTTTTATTAGATAATTTTGAAAATGCTGACAAGTGTATTGAATGGAAAACCAATAATCCTACTACTCAGAGATAAAAATTATTAATGTTTGAATGTATTATTTCTTCAAAATAAATGAATACATATGCATAGGTAATGCCCTGCTTCTGTTTATAGTACATTTCTGAAAATATACTAAAGCCTAATATGTACAATTCAACAATAAAGTATATAAAGTGAATTCTGTTTTTGAAAACTAAAATAATTATAAAATCTCATTATATTTTGTTTTTTGTAAACCCAATATTTGATGATATGTATAGTTCTATCCTTTTGTATAACTTCTTCAGTTTTTTTCCCCTCACAATGGAATAGCCACTTAACCCGGTCATTGAAGCCAGAGAGTTAACATTTTTGTTGTTCTTAAGATTTCTAGAATGGTCTCTTGGTATTAAGTTTGAGACATTGGCTTCCTGTCCTTTTGATGCTAGCAATAGTTTTATTCCTTATAAAATTATTTTAGGGTAAATCAATAAAATAATTGTCCATTTGTCTGCATACAGACAAAACAGCCCATTTTCTGGTGAACTGCTCACACTATGAACAAAAATCAATGGTTATTCATTAAATGAAATCTGAAAGTCCTACTTTGGCATATGAAGGGCACTTGAGACTTTTGGGTACGATATGGAAAAGGGTGGTTTACTCACAGCTTGAAAGCACTGAGGTCAAGGACTGACTGTGTATATGCGTATGTATATTTATTTAGGTGGGTCAGATTTTAGGTCCCCCTTCCTGTTTAGTTATGTATCCATTTTTCTCACTTGGCATAACTTGGTGAGCTCTTTTCCCGGCCATTAAAGGATTTCACAATATGATTTCCTTTAAATGCATAATATGCCTTGACTACTTTGCTTAGTAATTTCCCAGATGGTCATTTTCTTTTGAGGAAACCCAATAAAATCCCTTTAAATGGGTATCTCCCCTAGTACATTTAACATATTAGTTTGCTAAAGTTTCAGGAAGCACAACCTTAATATACTTTTTTCACATATAGAGGTGGAAGTGGTAGAAATAAAAACAATTAGAAAAAAGCTAAAAGCAGCAAGATGTAGTTTTCTTAGTGGAGGGTAGAAATGGTTAGAAATGAATTCCACAGGATTTTTTTTCTTTCTGTGATTTAGAATGTTTTACTGGAGTGCTAGTGTTTGTAGATGTGGCTGATTTGATTTATAACAAGGTCACAGTAACCTACACCTTTGGCTCCCCAAGGACATATGGGGCCATATGAGATCTTTGCAAAGTCTGCTGAGGTCCCTATTCCTTGAGGGTAATAAAACAGAACTGCACCTTCCATAGCACAGTGGATTCAAGTTCTTTGGACCACACGTACCTTTCTCCCTTTAATTTAGCGTATCCTGTGATTTTTTTTCCTCTACAGGCTCAATACAGGAAGTGGCTCAGCTAGGGCTCCAGCTGCAGCAAGCACAAAAGGCACACACTATAAGCGAGAACATGAACAAGGCTTTGCAAGTGAGTATTGCAGCTTGGAAGAGACTTTCTGGATAGCTGCATTAGGCAGTGATTACATCACTTTTTTGAAGTTTAGATTACTCTGTGATAGAGGTGGCTGGACCCTTTTCATGCCAGCCTGTAGGAGGTGTTCATAGTCTTACCCACACCATTTGGTCTCCAAGCCCAGGTCTGTCTTACTGCAGAGCCAGGGCCCTGTCATCTCCTTCTATGTCCTCCTTCATGCCTCCTTATATCTGGAGGTGTACTCCAGAGAAAAGTTTAGGTACAAGTATGGGAAATTCTTTTTTTTTTGGTACCAGTAGGTACTACTGTCCTACATCTCCAGTTCTTTTTTAGTTTTTTTAAATTTTGAGACAGATTCTTTCTAAGTTCCTTAGGGCCTCCCTAAATTGCTAAGCCTGGCTTTTAACTTGCAGTCCTCCTGCCTCAGCCTTCTGAGCTGATGAGATTACAGACATATATCACCATGCCCAGTTAAGTGTGGGGAATTCTTAATTTGACTACAGTTTTTTTCACATCCTCCTTAAGTACTACTCACATTTTCCACTGAACAGACAAGAAACACTGGAGAGGAGTTCCAGTATTATCTCCACTGAAAGAAGTATTTTGCTTTTTTGCCACTGGCCGGTGAAAGTATAATAGGTTCTTGGCAACCCACCTACTTTGTCCTCTGCTCTAGTAAGCCAGAGACACTACCATCAGCATCTCAGCTCAAGAGATGCTTTTCATATAGGACAAAATGTTAGCAAGAGACGTCTTAGAGAAACTAAGACGAATGTTTTCTCATTCATTCGTTTATGTATTCATTCAGTTTTCTTAAAAACCTCATATATATATCTATGTCTTTATAAAGTTATTTATAATGCATGGTAATAATGTACTTGAAGAAGTTTTTCTGCCTTTTGATCCTTAAAATAAATTTTGATACAGATATAATGACTGATTTTGTCATATAGGAAAATAATAGAAATAATTTTCACCAATTTGTGTCTTTATACATGTACTTTGGATAATGATGTCCATCACATTCCACCATCCTTGCTAACCCCCTGCCCCCTCCCTTCCCCTCCCACCCCTCTGCCCTATCTAGAGTTCATCTATTCCTCCCATGCTCCCCCCTCCCTACCCCACTATGATATACAACCAGAGATATGAAAAATTGTGCTATATATGTGTAATAAGAATTATAATGCATTCCGCTGTTATTTATTTTTTAAAAATCAATTAAAAAAATTTTAAAAGGGTAATTTAATCAGACAATGTTAAGCACTTAATAAAAATCAAGATCTATTAAAAAATTTTTTCAATAATTTTGTGTTGCAGGAGGAATTAACAGAACTAAAAGATGAAATTTCTCTCTATGAATCTGCTGCAAAACTAGGAATACCTCCAAATGACTCAGAAGGAGAATTAAATATAGAACTCACTGAATCATATGTGGATTTGGGTATTAAAAAAGTCAACTGGAAAAAATCCAAAGTTAACAGGTATTGAGAGAATGTTTTAGTTTACTGTAGAACTTACGTTAATAAAGTTGGTATTGCATGGTAAACAGGTGGCAGCAGGCATGAAATGATGAGATGAATAGGGGTTCTGAATGTGGAACGGTATGTTTTATGTTTAGTCTGAAATCGAGATGAACAAACTTGAAGTATTGGTACTGTACTGTCTTCAACACTCAAACATATCACTTTCAAAAAGGTAAAAAGTGACTAATGTAGTTAAAGGACAGAGTAAATTCTAAAGCTGAGATTATCTGTTTTAACTATTAGTGAGAGGGCATATTATTTTTATATATTAACCCTGTGTGTTGAAAGTGGATAACCTTGCATTTGTTAATGGTATATGATAAAAGAAGCACTGATTTTTTTTTCCCCCCTTGGAACCTCACTGTGATCTTCCTCTTAAAATAGGGAGTCTGTCTTTTTTTAAAAATAGGTTCTTTTTAATAATACATGACAGTTGAATAATTTATTCTGACATAATTATAAAAGCATGGAATATGTTTTGTTCTAATTCAGCCCCTAGTACCTTTACCCCACCTTCCCATCTCCCACTCTCTTCCCTCTACTCTGCTGATCCTTCTGCCATTTACTCGTAGGGAGTTTGTCTTCTACTACTGCTTTATACAGATACTTTTAGCAATCTCACAGAAGACAGTACTTTGTGTTTTTTCCAGGAAGGGATGGGAGAGGGGTGGTGGTGGTAGAAGAGGAAACATTAGACATTTACAGGATGAATGAATGAGACTTTTATTCATTCACACTGTTGAGACACTTGCTACATGGAAGGTGCTATGTAAGGCTTTGGGAATAGAGGCAAAAAATGAGTTAGAAACTTTCTTTCCCTTGTATGTTTACATTTTATGTGTTCAGGAAGAAGATGACATACCCATAAGCAACTAAGTGCTATGTGTCCATGCGTGGGATTAGGGGTACTTATCCATTCCCTCTACTGGTCAGGTCAGGGATGAGATATGAGGTGTTGGGAAGAGGTTGCATTTAAGCTAAGGAAAGCTTTTCTTGAATACATTTGGCTCTCATTACCACTTTCTGGTTTATAGTTTAATACTGAATTTACCATCATGATAATGTTATTTTTCAGTGAGACCATTTAATTCATGTTGTGTTTCAGATATTTTGCAAGTAAATACAAACAAATCTCTTGAAGAATTTGCTCTACAATAGGCTTTAGAGTTTGTGTATTTTAAATGGCAATTTCTGTTTTTTTAGAACAGTAAGAATGCAGTTCAGCAAAATGAACTGCATCAGGTGATCTAAATCGATCAGGTGAATTGTGAAAGATGATATTATTTTAATATGCCTCCATTTATCTGGAGGCCTGACTTCAGGAACTTTTGTGTGTACAGAACACAGCTACAATCTGTAAGGAAACAAGAAAATAGCGGAACTAGATTATGTAATGTATATATTAGGAGCCACCTTCAAGCTTGATTCTCAGGGTCATATTGACTTAGATTTATTCAGATAAATTATCTGATTTCCTGACTACAGTGTGTAGCTGGGGCAGAGGCCAGGGGCAGAGAAGTTCTGTCAGTTCCTGAGCCAGGCAGCTCAGACTTAGCAAGAAGAGAAATAAGGAAACCCAAGAGGCTGGATTTGCTGACCATCAGGGCATATAGCCTCACACATTATCCACACGGGTTCTATCCACATCAGAATGTCCACAATTATGGTCCCATGTTGAAGAAAGGCTTCCACTTTGATTTGTTTGTTAAAACAGAAGAGGCGTGTGCTTCATAGTTTTTAGACAGATTTACATAAAAATGGGAAGTTAAATATATTTGTCTGGAAAACTCTCTGCCTTGAATGCCTCATTACCTATCAGTGCTAGATTAATTCTAAGGGGCTAGTGAAAGAGCATGGACTTTAGATCCAGACTGTTTTGAACCATAGTTTTGCCATTTATTACCAGCTTTATGATCCTAGGCAAGTTTCTTAACCTTTTTCTGAGTGTGTGCTTATCAAGCTTGATTTCCCTTGGAAGTTAAAGTGAAGATTAAGGTAGATAATGAATATAAGAACCTCATGTAATATTGTTCTGGCACAGATTGGGCACTTAAAATAATAGCTATTACTGTTATTATGTAATAGATGATTAGTTAAAATATGCCCTGCATCATGTTTTAATTGAATACATACTTGCTAAAGTTTTTGATCCTCAGTCTTGTGACAGATGTTGGCTCCAATCTCATCACGTTAGAAATGGGGAAAACTGGAGCCCAGGGAGTTAAGCACCTTTGTTCAAGAAGATGCTTAATTAGCAGCAGAACCAGTACTTGAGCCCCGAATTCCTGAGGCCAGGCCCAGTTTTATATTTTTTTATGTTTATGAGACAGTTAAACCTTTTTGCCTTAGAGTTCATTTTTATTTACATCTTTTATTTTTGTGGATTAAAGATGTAGTTCATGCAAAAAAAAAGTTTTTCTCCAATTTGTTTACCTTGAGTTTGTGTCATGGCCTGGGAACTGGGTAAATAGTACATTATATGTATGTTTATCTTTTTACAAAATTTATTTTGTTATGAGGTCTACTAAAGTCCAGTCGACTGCATTTGCACTTTTTAGTTGGTTAGCACTCATAGCCACAATCCTCTAGTGATTTTAAAGCATGTTCCTATAGATAATAAATCTGAGACATCACATCATGACAGACACATTAAACAGGTAAATGGAGAAGAACTGAAGCAGGCTGGTTAGTCATTGAGTTCATTGAGAAGACATCCAATGAAATGCAGCATAAGGGAAGAAACATTCAGCTTCTAGTCATCCCTCATACCAGTGTTAACAGATGATAATTGTGCTTTGAAAAAACTACAAATGTTTATTTTCAGATCAAATTTAAAGGGCATAGGTGAGAAGAGATTTGTACCTTTCCTTTGGGTGAACTGTGTGATTCTTAAAATAAGAGGAAGCAGCAGTTTTCCCAATATTGAAATTTTAATTCTTTGTTGACTTGAGCTACCTTCAAATCACTTACCCAAATAGTAGTGGCTCCAAGCTTGTATTACCAACACCACCTCCCTTAAGCTACTGCCTAGTAAATTTTAAGGGCTTAACCTCAGTGTTCTATTTTACGTTCATGGAATTTGAGTAGCTAAATCTGCATGCAGCTTGCAGACAGCTTCCTCTCTCTCTTATTATAGTTGGCTGCTAAGCTCAAATAATAAACATTTAACAAGTGGAATGCCTTTTCCCTTTGGTCTTCACAGCAGGCTTCATAAGGGACTACAGTTTATTTGAATTTAAGGGAACCAACGTCCATAGGGCTTTAATAGTAAGCCTAAATGAAGAACTGGTCTCCACCACTGGCTCTTTCCCTTTTGAGGAAAAAAGAGAAAATTATTTTAGCAAGCACTTTCTCTGCTAACTTGGCTCCCTCTAGAAGTACAGGATGTGCTATTTCAGTGGTCAACATTTAGTCAGAAAAGAAATAAGGGAGGCATAATTTTTTAACTGAGCAAAATAAACACTGTACTTATAATACACCACATAGCATAGCACAGGAAAATACAATGTCATGTATTTAATATTATATTTCTTACATAATTATATTTCTAATTCTTATAATTATTATGTCTTCTATTTCTACATAGAAAAATATAGTGACTTAAATATAGTGGATTTCATGTAGTGGTTTAAATAGGTGAGATCTTCTATACACAAACATAGTTACATAATATGTATTGCATATACAAAAACTTCCTATATGTATCACAGGGAACTTCTTTTATAACTTTAAAAACTCTACAAAATATTATTCCTTCTCTCTCTTTCTATACATACAAAATATTCTAACATTAAAATGCTAGAATCATCTGAAAACTGAAGACTAGTAAAAATTTTGACTCAGATGCTATAATTTTTTAAAAAATACTTTTTAGAACAGCTTAGATTTACAAAAAAAATTACATCATGGGGAGAGTTCCTATATATGCAGCTCCCATTTTTGCCTACTAACATCTTGCATTGACCTGGTACATTTGTTAAAGTTAATTGATATTGATGCATTATTATTTACTAATGTTTATAGTTTATTTAGATGTTCTTAGTTTTTACCCAGTGTCCAATTTCTCAGGATCCCATCCAGGTACCACATTACATTTAGGAGTCATGTTTCCATATATTCTTCTCGACTTCTTTTGTTTTAATGATATTGACAGTTTTGAGGAATATTATTCAGGAATATTGGAATTTGATATTTTTCTCATGATTATATTTTTCTCATGGTTTCTATAGAAAACCACAGAGATGAGATTCCATTTTAGTTTCTTCATATTAAAGGTGTACACTATCAACTACTACTTTCCAAAAGTAACTTTCTCCTCCATTGGGGAAAAATTAGAAATACAGACTAAGAAAAAAGTAAAATCATCCATAATATAACCTCATTTTGTGTGAAGAAAACCACTGTTAACACTTTGTTATCTAACTTCCATGTTATCTGCTTTGTGTGTTTCTAAAAAATAATATTGAATATACTGTTTTATGATATCCTTTAACTTAGTACATTGAAATCTTTTAATGACAGTCAATACTATTATATATAATTTTAAAGGATATATAGATTCATGAAACATATTTTAGTTTGTAGTATAATATTGTTTAAAATTTTTTATTATAAGTAATTCAGTATCATTATTACAATCATCTTTGTATTCAAATCTTTATTCACATCTTTATTTCCACAAGATGTAGAATTATTGCCAAAGGGTATTCACATAGTTAAGGATTTTGACAGATGTTGACAAACCAGTCCTAATGTTTACATATTACCTATATTGTGTAGTAGTACCTATTTCTCTGCACCCTAGCCATTGCTTAAAGTTATCACTTTTTCTGTTTAAAATTTTATGTCCTACATTAGATCTATCACTCTTTATAACTTCTTATGTTTAAAAAGGTGGTATTTTCTAGTGCTTTCTGTAGTTTTATTTTACTTTTTAAACATTTAAAACTGTGAAATAT